CTTTATGAGTGCCGCACACAGTTCCTCTCCTCGATGCAGCAATCTCTAATCTTCACTTAACCATGCTATGCAGGGATTATCCTAGTTTATGAGAGACGGTGGAAGGAAGAGTCAGGGGTTTAGACAAATTGCCCTGGGTCACAGGTTGGTAAATCTCAGAACTAGGACTGAGACCCAGGTGTAGGACTGCAAGTTCCATTCTCTGACCTATTGCAAAGTATTTTCAACTTTACTTCTCAAACTTTTCATGTCTTGCTTGTAGGTCCCCTGGTTCTGAACTGGCCTTCTCACTATCTAGTATCTAAGCCAAGACATCTTTAAGGACAGAGGAAAAATGATAAGATGTGTACATTAACAGAAGGGAGGAGCCATAATGTTTCATTCAGGTGAGAATAGTGAGTTGAGAAGGGAGGAGCAGGTGGGGTGGTGATAATTGGCTACCACAGCAATAAAAACGCGGCAACTGGGGCAAAGAGAGAAGCAGGATAAGGGTAGATAGGAGGTGGCTTTGCCAGCAGTCCCCAGAGTCCCTTTATAGCTGTTCTCAGCTGCAGAGTTCTGTAGCTCAGGTGGCCATGAGACCCCTGAAGACCCTCTTGGCACTCCTTTGGCAAAGCTGACTTAAATGAACCCTATCCTTGAGAGAAGGAAAAGCTTACAAGTATAAGACAGAGTCATGTTCATGGCAGACTTTTTCCCAAAGCATCTTACCCGAAATGAACCATGTCAACCCCCTCTAGTAACTAGGGGGCAGGAAGCCCTTAAGCTGACAGAAAACAAGGCTCTTTTACAGACTCTTCCCTGTGAAGACGAGTGGAAAAAAAGAATTAATAGAGAGCATGCTCAAGTTTGGAACAAATGCATCAGCTCTATAACAAGTTACTGGTAGCCATGATGTTTAGGGTAGCTAATATACTTGAAAAGATTCACAGACAAAACTTATTTCATTGAGCAATTGGGAGCAGAGACTCTTAAATGTTCTGGGATGTGCTTATTTTACATATGGGCTCCATCACTATTATAGAAAAATCTAAATTAATCCAATAGGTTTTTTGTTCTGGCTGGCTGCTTTCTTATTAGATATATTGCTAAAAACTGTCCAAATCAAAATAAAAGATGCAAAGAAATGATTAGCAAATAATCCATTGAAATTCATATAGAAAACTTACTGGGTGCCGTGTCCCCACTCTACATATATGTTATCACAACAACCCTCTGAGGTGGGCACTGTCCCACTCATGGGTGGGAAACAGGCTGGAGAGCTTTATGAACTTGACCGTGGTTGGTAGCTTGTGAGTGGCAGACCCCAGACTCTAAGGCAGGCTCTTTCTGGCCTGACTGTGCTCTGAACTGCTTGTGAATGGCACGTTTTGTTTGGCACTTTACCATTCCCTCTCTAGGGAGAGTGTGTAAGCTCCTAGGGTCCACCTAGCTCTGCCGGGGGCCGTCCTTCAAACATCTCCATCCCATCATCTGTGAAATGAAGGCAGTTGTTCCGATACAGTTGATGGGCTGTTAGCACCATCATTACCAGAATCCTGAAGTCCTTTGATTATCCGCTATATGTATGCCATTTGGGAGGTTACAAAAGTGCGAGGCATAAAATAAATGTCAATAAAAGCACATGTTGAATTTAAAGAAACATCAGGCGAGGGATGCTTTAATGAAGATGGGGAAATGATATACAGCATGATCTTTAAACTGTTATCCTCGCCTACATTGTTGAGAAGTGAGAGAAAACTACTGAAAAAAATAAATTGGGAAATGAAATCAGAATCTGTGAGTTATAATAAAAGTGACTTTTAAAACCATTTCCTTTTATATTCCAAACCATGATAGACTACTATAGATTCTTATGTTCCAGAGGTGACTAGAGGAGTGAATGCCAATGCTGGAAAGAGGTGACCCTTTGAAGGTGTCCAATTAGTGAATCATGGCAAAGGGATTCCCAAAGTCAAGTCAGTATGCCATTCCTAAATCATGGCTTAGGGAGAGAGAGTGGCAAGGTACAAAGAATGACAAAGCAGACTCTTGCAGTGGTCCAAGTCCTCTGGCAACATTAACTTTAAATATGGCATGTATGAATAGCCTGCTTCATTCATTCTTTCAATAAATTATTACTGAGTCCCTTCTATATGTCAAGCATTAGGTCAGGAGCTGGGGACACCCTACTGAGCAACAGTCTCTACTTCCATGAAACTTATTTAATTAGTAATAATACAAGTAGCATTTAGTTACAATTTTAATAAATGTCATAAAGGAGAAGCATAAGATGAAAGAGAGCATATACCACGGTGACCTGAGTTAGTCTGAGGGGTCAGGCTTTCTGGAAAGAAGCGATGTTCAAACAGTGATCTTAAGCATAAGGACTTAGCTAAGGGTGGGAGGGC